GACATCGCCAACGCATGGCGGGGCCTGGAGCAAGTAGAGAAGGGCTATGAGGACTGGCTGCTCTCCGAGATCCGGCGCCTACAGCGGCTGCAGCACCTGGCAGAGAAGTTCCAGCAGAAGGCCTCCCTGCATGAAGCCTGGACCCGGGGTAGGTGGCTCTGGGGCCTGAATGTGTCCTGTGCAGACTGGGGGGAGCCTGGTGGGAGGGGGACGGGGTCCTGATAGAAGGCACGGGTAGGGTTCTGCAAGGAAGCTGGAGGCCTGTTTTCTAGTCCCTTTTTGCAATCAAATAATACTGGAAGGGAACCAAGGGCCACTCCAGATCATGTAAGCTCAGGGACCCTGACGTCACTGAGGAACCATGCCCTGGAGCCGGAGCTTCCCTTCACTTTATCCTACTGGCGTCTCAGAGCAGACCGCTAGGTGCAGGCTGGGCAGGAGTGATCACCTGCGTTCACGGATGGGGAATCTCCAGTGTCAAACACGGGGCTCGGACCCCCTGCTCCTGCGTAGCCGCCCCTGGGTGACCCGAGCCGGGCTTCTCTCCACGCAGGAAAGGAGGAGATGCTGAGCCAGAGGGACTACGAGACGGCTTCGCTGCAGGAGGTGCGGGCCTTGCTGCGGCGCCATGAGGCCTTTGAGAGCGACCTGGCGGCGCACCAGGACCGCGTGGAGCACATCGCCGCACTGGCCCAGGAGCTCAAGTAGGCATGGAGTCCGCTGGGGCCCACCCCGGTGTGGTGGTGGTAGGGGGATAACGCCCCCACCTGGCCCCGCCCCTCAGCCTCGGGCCCCGCCCCTGCTCCCAAAGCCCTCCAGACCTTTCACTCTTCAATAACCCCGCCTTGGTACCCCTGTCCTTCCCAGCACCTCTTGCTCTGCCCTCCTTCTGTAACCCTGTCCCCTAAGCTGACGTTTCCTTGCAGCTTTGGGCCAGCCAGGCCGTCACCACAGCCTTGGCCTCCTGCCACCTCCTGTAAACCTGTCCAGGAAACTCCAGGCCCCGCCCCTCCTCCCAAACTTTTCCAGGGACTGGAGCTGAGGACCCCCTTCTCCTAGGCACCCACTGGGAAGGCCCTGCTCTAGGAAAGCCCTGTTTCACCCCCATCTACCCTGGCTCCTTTATGCCTTCACCACCCCTGGGCCCAGAGTCCAGCCCCCCGAGGGACAGTCAGGCAGAAATCTGGGCTGGAATCTGGCTCCACAGACACCCTCCTTCCCGTCCCCAGTGAGCTGGACTACCACGAGGCAGCCTCGGTGAACAGCCGCTGCCAGGCCATCTGCGACCAGTGGGACAACCTGGGCACGCTGACCCAGAAGAGGCGGGATGCACTAGAGGTGAAGCTGGGGACCCGGGGGTGAAGGCTGGACGCTGGAGGAGGGTGAGGGGCCTGCTGGGCGGGCTGCTGACTGGCCATCCCTGTGGCCCCCAGCGGATGGAGAAGCTCCTGGAGACCATCGATCAGCTGCAGCTGGAGTTTGCCCGGCGGGCAGCGCCCTTCAACAACTGGCTGGACGGCGCCGTGGAGGACCTGCAGGACGTGTGGCTGGTGCACTCGGTGGAGGAGACCCAGGTGGGTGCAGGGGCTCCAGGTGTGCCAGGGTTCGATGGAATGACAAGGAAGTGGCCTGTCTTCTGTCGGACACCCCTTTGGGCTCCTGGGGAATGGGGGGCCAGAGGAGAAGCCCAGTTCTAGAGTGCCAGGAGTCAGGAGGCCTGGGTTCTCTGGCCAGTGCTGCCCTGGCCCCTGGTGAATGGCCCCCTGGCCGTCCTTTGTTGCGTGCGGGAGGTAGGGGCGCTGGTTGATGCTTCCTGCCTGTCGTCCCCAGAGCTTGGTGACAGCACACGACCAGTTCAAGGCAACACTGCCTGAGGCCGACCGAGAGAGGGGTGCCATCCTGGGCATCCAGGGTGAGATCCAGAAGATCTGCCAAACGTACGGACTACGGCCCAGCTCCACCAACCCGTACATCGCCCTCACCCCGCAGGACATCAACACCAAGTGGGACACGGTCAGTGCCACCAGTGGCCTTTCCCGCCTCCCTCCTGTGTAGACACCTTCTAAACCACCCTGAGAATCTCAGGTGTCCTGAGACACGGAGAATCAAGTCCGTCTCCGGATCTGTGGTCTGCCACAGATTCTACGTGGTGCTGGACAGGTCGCCTTGCCTGACTTGGCCCTCTCTGTAAAATGGCCATAACAGCATTTTCCTGTTGGGCCTGATTGAAGCATAATTAGGTCTGATGTGGGGGCCAGATTGTTGTACAGAACAATCAGTTCGTTAAGAGTGTCGGCATGGGCCCTCATTTACAGCCAGGAAATGAGCAGAGAGGCTGTGTGACCTGCTCACAACTTGCCCCCACCCCCGAGCCCTTGGCTCAGGGTAAGGAGCCCTGTGAGGGGCTGGAGCCCTCCCCTCACTCCCAAGCTGCCCCTGACACCACCACCCTCCCTCCAGGTCCGAAAGCTGGTACCCAGCCGTGACCAGATGCTGCAGGAGGAGCTAACGCGGCAGCAGGTGAACGAGAGGCTCCGGCGGCAGTTTGCAGCCCAGGCCAACGCCATCGGGCCCTGGATCCAGGGGAAGGTGGAGGTAAGGCTTGGATCAGGGAGCCAACCTGGGAGAGGGTGACCAGGGGCTGGGCCACCGGGGGCCGGAAGGCCTCATGTGCCCGGTCCCCCTGTAGGAAGTGGGGCGCCTGGCCGCGGGGATGGCCGGCTCTCTGGAGGAGCAGATGGCGGGCCTGCGACAGCAGGAGCAGAATATCATCAACTACAAGAGCAACATCGACCGGCTGGAGGGGGACCACCAGCTGCTGCAGGAGAGTCTGGTGTTTGACAACAAGCACACCGTCTACAGCATGGAGGTGGGGCCACGGCGATTAGGACTGCGGGGAAGGCGGTGCTGCGGGGAAGCCTGGGGTGGCCATGGCTGGTTGATCAGTACGTAATAAATCATCAAACTTTATGGGAGGAAGGGCTGCTGGATGTCACTCAGTGGAACCTCCCAGTGGGGCCCAGCAAGGGGGAGGACTTGGCCAGGGTCAGATGGTGAATTGGGGGTGGAGCCAGAGTTCATGGCCAGGCCCTGGCCGCCCACTGACCCGGACTGTCTCCTGCTTTCACAGCACATCCGCGTGGGCTGGGAGCAGCTGCTCACCTCCATTGCCCGAACCATCAATGAGGTGGAGAACCAGGTACTGACCCGAGACGCCAAGGGCCTGAGTCAGGAGCAGCTCAACGAGTTCCGGGCATCCTTCAACCACTTTGACCGGGTCAGCAGGGGCCTCGTCCTGTGGGGTAGTGGACCTGGGGGCTGGCCGGGGGGCGGGGATTGGGGCTGGAGCCTGACATCCGCTCCTCAACTACAGAAGCGGAATGGCATGATGGAGCCTGACGACTTCCGGGCCTGCCTCATCTCCATGGGCTACGACCTGGTGAGTGTCCTCCAGCCCTGTCCTGGGGTCCCCTCCGTGGCCCCTCCTACATACTGATCACCCACTGTGTCCCTCCCACCTTCACACCTTCATTTCCTCCTCATCCACCTCCTGGGGCTGGTGAGAATTACCCCATTTCCTAGGGGTGCGGCTACCAAAAGTTCGGAGGTAAATTAATTTGTGTGACTCCAGAGCCTGAGCTTGCAACATATCCACCTCAGAGAGAGAGCACTACACGGGTGTGGGGAAGAGGTCAGGAGCAGGGCATTGCCACGGGCAGGAAGTAGAGCTCAGCCCAGTGGAAAGGATTTTCCAGAGCCAGAGCTAAGGCTGCAGTGGACCGTCTATGGAGAAAGGGGGCCACCTTGTCACTGGGGTCATCAAGCCAGGGGGACACCATGAGCCCTCCTGGCTTAAGCACCCCTGGGCACGGTGTCCGGCCTCTAACCCTGCAGGGGGAAGTGGAGTTCGCTCGCATCATGACCATGGTGGACCCCAACGCAGCCGGGGTCGTGACCTTCCAGGCCTTCATCGACTTTATGACCCGAGAGACAGCTGAGACAGACACGGCTGAGCAGGTTGTGGCCTCGTTCAAGATCCTTGCGGGAGACAAGGTGAGTCCCTGGCGGGGGTGGAGGGAGCTGGTGGGTGGGGGGCGGGGACTGGGACCTGGGGGCCCTCAAACCCTCTTCTCCCCCAGAACTACATCACCGCCGAGGAGCTGCGGCGGGAACTCCCGGCGGAGCAGGCCGAGTACTGCATCCGCCGCATGGCACCCTACAAGGGGGCCGGGGCTCCAGCTGGAGCCCTGGACTACGTGGCCTTCTCCAGTGCCCTCTACGGGGAGAGTGACCTCTGACCTTGACCCCCGAGCCTCCCTACTCAAGTCCGGAGAGAGGGTGTTCCCTCCAGCTGATCCCACCCATCCCTTGGAGCCAGAGCCACAGAGCCGAGTGTTTATCAATAAAGATCCATCGTGGGCCCCTCTCCATCTCCGACTGATTCCTAAGGCAGAAGCTTGGGCCCTCAGGTTTCTGGGCAGGATCAGCTGCCCCACGCTGACCCTCCAGGGGTTCCCCAGCACCCCTCCTGGCCCTCAGGGTCTGAGCATTCACACCACACTGGGGTCCAGGACACCTCTTTATTGTGTTAGAAAAGGTCAGTGACAACAGTTTCTCTAGATGTGGAAGGCAACACAGTCCCCCAATCCAGGGGAACCAGAAAGTTTACAGCTTCAGAGGAAAACCGGGGCGGGAAGACAGAGCCTGCTGAGGACAGAGCTGGCTTTAAGACCAGAGTGTTTTCTTCCCACCTGCTCCTTACCCGAGCCCAGGGTTCTTGCCCCAGCTTCGGCTGCCAAGACATCATCCTTCACCCCAGTCCTCCTAGCTATCACCATTCAGCAAAGGTGCTGCCGGGGAACTTCAGGGTGGGAGTGGGGGGAGGGCCTGTGTCCTGTGGCCTTTGCTCACCCTGGGGTCCCTGGTGCCCGTCCCTCGGCCAGCTCTGCCTCCTGGGGAGGGGCCGTTCTGGCCCACACCAGATCCTGCGCTGGTGCGCCTCAGTCTATCACCGCTGAGCTGGCCATGATGTTCACGCCACAGGCCCCAGAGCCACGGTGCAAGTAGTAGTAACCCTGGGGGAAGGGGGCGTCGGTGAGGGCGCCAAGGCAGGATGGGGGCTGGAGGGCTGGGGGCCAAGCAGGCAAGACTCACCTCCTCTCCCCAGTCAGTGCCCCAGCTGTTCTTGATGGCCCAGAAGGGAGTGGCAGAGCCTGGGGGGCGGGCAGTGTGGAGCACAGGGAGAGTCAGGGTCCCCCGAGTCTCCAGCCAGGGCCCCAGGCACTGGGCACTCTTCACGTGTTTGCTGTGGGCCTACTGGGCGACAGGTACTAGGGGAAGAGCAAAAGGCAAGACAGGCCCACCTACCATGCTCCCAGAAACCAGGAGCGGCTCTAGGGCTTGGAGAAGACACCCACCCATCCACAACTGCTCACACCTCCCACCCCCTTGGCTCTCCCATTCACAGAGAGGATGGGTGATCCTGCCTGGCCCACAGCCTGAGGCAGCGGGTAGGACAAGGTTCCTGAGATGCTGTGACCCGGGCTGGATGGGCGTAGGGGCGAGCGGAACTCACGGTTGCCATAGCCCACGAGCAGCACGGCGTGGTCAATGAGCCAAGGACTGCAGAGGGGGCGCAGGGGGTGGGAGATCCCGTGGCGGTAGAACTGAGGGGGGAGAATAAGAGCAGGGGGGGCCAACATGCTGCAACTACTGCAGCCGGAGCACCTAGAGCCCGTGCTCCGCAACAAGAGAAGCCACGGCAACGGGAAGTCCGCGCGCTGCAGCTAGAGAAAAGCCTACACAGCGACGAAGACCCAGCACAGCCAAAAATAAATAAATGATTAAAAGTAAAGTAGGGGCCAGCTCCGAGAAGTGGGGGAGGAGTCAGCAAGAGCTGGAGCCGGAGCAACGAGGCTGGGGCCCTACCTGCATGCCAAAGGCGTTGATGGCAACGGAGATGGGGCCGTTCTTGGCCAGCCAGGCCGCCAGCTCTGAGACAGGGGAGGGCCAGTGTCAGGGGGCACCCAGGCCCTAGCCCCCGCCCCCCAGGCCTCTCCTCACACCCCCGCCCTCCCTTACTTTGCTCATTCTTGCTCAGCTCCACTGAGTCATTGATGTAGACCTTGGCCTTCTCTGCAGAGAAGCTGCAGGTCTGCAAGCGGCCTCGGTAGCTGTAGTCGTCCTCTGTCTCCAGCCCTCCTGGGATTGTGGGAAGGGGGGCCGGCAGATCAGAAGTTAGAGGAAAGGTGGGCCCTACTCACCATACTCATCTGCTCCCGGCCAGGGGCTGTGCTGAGCCCCTCGTACACAAGGCCTCGTGTTTTCCATCTACCCCAGGCCACAGGCCATCCTCTCTGAAGGGGACCTCTTTCTCGAGATGGCTCAGCTGAGGCCCACAGGCATGGGGCAGCCTCCAGTGAGATGTGTGGCACAAAGGGAACCCAGCTCCCAATTTCTGAGTCCTGACTCCCCAAAGCATTCCTAGGACTCCTGATCTTGGCTTACTTGTCCTGCCCTGACCGTTTGCTCCCAATCTGGCCCAGACCCCTGCCAGGCTCCCTCCCCAGTCTTTGTATGGAACTGCCAGGTTAGGGCAACACCTCCCCTCAAGGGGGAGGTGTGCTGCTCCTGGGTTCAGCAGCACTACAGGCCTCCAAGCAGTGAAAATAGCAAGACCCCTGCTCTGCACCAGGAACTTGACACACCTTCCCATCACTTGACCCTCAAGGCAATCCTATCAAGTGGGTGCAAGGAGGCCCATTTCACAGGTGAGACAAGTGAGGCTCTGAAAGAGCTGACCTGCCCAAGGTCTTCAGCCAGTTAGAGGTCAGCATTAAGACTTGAACCCAGTTCACAGGACTGTCTCCCACCCTCACAAAGTGACTTCTGGGGGAGGGAGCTGTGCTCCTGACGCCCCTCCTGAATGCGTACCCAGATTCCTTATGGCAGAGTAGGCGTTAGAGGGCAGGCCGCCCAGGCAGGCCTTGTCAGTCTTGTCACAGTCCACAAGCTCTAGGAGACAGAAGGCTGGTCCCGAGGAGCCCTCCAGAGGGGCTGGGCTGGGGACAGGGGGGCACAGCGGGATGCTCACCCTGCTCAGAGAGGGAGAGCAGGGTCCCCCGTTTGAGAAACCACTGGCCCTCCACGTTGCCTGTGACTGAGAAGGCCCAGCAGGAGCCGCACATGCCCTGCAAGAGACGGGCAGAGTCAGGGCTGGGCCCCTTCCAAAGGCCAGTGCAGCCCGCGCATCCCACCCTCGCTTCTTCGGGGTCCGACCTGGTCCTTGACATCGGTGACAGCCCCCTTCTTCCTCCAGTCCCACTGAGGCGGAGGAACATCGGTGACGGGCTGGGCCAGGCGCATGTTCCTGCCAGGCGCATCTTTCAGGAGGGGGTTCAGGTAGATGGTGCGGAACTCCTCCTCTGTGGACAAAGGTGGGCGGGGGTGGGAAAAGAGTATTCGAAGCCAGTCCTACCCAGGGGCCTTGGGAGCAGGCCCTGTCTCTTCCAGGCACTGTGAGGGCTCTGGCCACCGCCCCTACCTGTCAGGTCACTGAACTTGGTGACCCCATACTGAGCTGTGCCACGGTCCAGGGCCTGGATCTTCTGCGCTCGCACCATGTTATTGGCAAAGACGGACATGCGCCAACTGGCTTCTGAGGACCAACGAGCAGAAGTGAGGCTTGGGCCCCAGGCAGACCATAAAGGAGAGATGCTTGGGGATAAGAGGCAGAGGTTTCCATGGGGAACAGTGGACTCTGGATCAGGTCTGAAGCTTATTTCAAGAAGGGCAGGGGACGACCCTGTGGTCCAGTGGCTAAGACTCCACACTACCAAGAAGGAGGCCTGCATTCAATCCCTGGTCAGGGAACTAAATCCCGTATTCCACACCTGAAAGATCCTGCGTGCTGCAACTAAGACCCGGTGCAGCCAGGTCTTTATTATTTATAATACTTAAATTATTATAATTTAATATTTAATTATTTTGTAAATGTTTATTTATAAAATGTTTACTGTTAAATATTTATAATATTCAATATTATAAATATATGCTATTATATTTATTATCAATATATTATATGTTAATTATATTACTTATATTATTATTTATATAATATTTATTTATTATTAAATAAAAATAAATATAATTTTAAAAAGAGAGGAGAGCAGAACCCTGAAATGGGTGTCAAGACCAGATCTGCAAGTGATAAGAGTGAGGCCAAAATACGGTGATGACTCCCCAGCTATGAAAGGAGAACTAAAATGGGCTCCAAAGACAGAAGGTCATGGGAAAAGGCCACCAAGCCAGGGGTCCTCCAGCAGAGAAAACCTGGCCTTTGCCCCATCCCACTCTACCCAGAATGATGGAGACCTATGGTTTCTGACCAGGAAGATCAGATGGGAGAAGTGCCAGCTACCCAAGGTGACTGCCAAGTCCTGAGAGGCTAAACAAGAACTTGGGGGGACTTGGGGATCCCTCTGCCCTTCCCCTTCTCCAACACTAAGGTGCCAAGTCGGGGGAGAGGTCCTGATCTGATCGGGACACATCCAGCCAAGGCTAGGGCCTCACCTTCCTTCGAATCATATGTCCGGTTATAGGTGGTGACAAAGTCCTTGAAGATCGAAGCCATCTTCACAGAAAAGTCCTGGAAAGGCAAAGAGAGGGAGTCTTCACAAGTCCTTCTCAGACAGATGTGGGAGCCCCAGGCCAGGGTGGAGGGAAGATAGTGAACGCAAGGCCACAGCCAGCTCCCCAGACAGACAGGCTCCTCACCTGGGGGAGGGGATCCCTGTTCAGCAGTGGAAGGAATGAACTGAAAGTCTCATTTTTGTCATCTGGAGAGAGTTGGAAGAGAGAAGCAGGGCTGAACCTTAAGTGAAGTCTGACCTGAACCATTCCAGCACCCCTGGGCGCTCCCGGCACCTGTACTCTTGGTATCCACTGGGCCACAGTCCCGCCTCAGTAGCATGTGTTTCCCTAGCTCGTCTAGGACTTCGAAGCTGCAGAGCTGCAGGAAGAGGAAGGAGGAAGCCAGTCAGGGGGCTGCGAGGAGAGCAAGGCCTTTGGCAAGATGGAGCTGGAGAGTCCTCGGATGAGGACCATCTCGAAGGCAATCTCGCCCACAGTGGGGAGCGAGACACCGTCCGGGAGCCAGCATCCAGACCCCCGCCCTTTTATAGCATCTTGGTCTCTGACCTTCCAGGCCTGGGTAGTGTCGGGGTGAGGTAGATGAGGCCTCAGATCCCGCCCCCTTGACTTGACAGATCGTCCCAACTACAGCCAGATTCGACCTGGAGGCAAGGGAATGGCAGGAACCCCATCACTCACCAGAGTCTTCTTGGACACCGGGAGCTGACACACCGTGGGGTCGTTGCAGGGAGGCTCCACCAGGGTCGCCTTCAGAGAATACAGGGACCCCCGGCCCGCCTGGACGGAAGGGCGAGTGAGTGGCAGCACGGCCACCCTCTCCTCTGTCCAGCCTTCATGGGGCCCGCAGCCCCACCGTGCCCCCTTCCCCCTTCCCCATCACTATTAGTCCAACGTCCCCGCCCCAAGTCACGCCGAAAGTTCCCAACCCTCGGGCTAGAGCCCGGCTCACCGCGGACCCAGGAGCCCCACCCCAAGCGCGTCCTCACCCGGCGGATGCGACCGCGCACGGCCCCCAGCGCGGCCCGCGTCCCGGCAGCCCGGCCGCGGTTGTACATCTCCAGGGCGAAGCGGACGGGCTCCCGCAGCTCCGGGGACGCCAGCTCCCAGGCCTGCGCGCCGGCCGCCTGAGGCTTGCTGGAGGCCGGAGCGGCGGCCGGGAGCAGCCCCAGCAGCAACAGCAGCTGCAGCCAGGGTGCCATGGCGAGGGCGAAGCTGGCGGCCCGGACTCACGCACGGACAGATGCGCGGACCAACCGACGGGGCGGAGCTACCCGCGGCTGGGGGACCCTAGTCCTCCCCCAGCTCCGGGGCCGCGGGGCGCCGGCCAATGGGCGCCGGCCGGGAGCGCCTGCGCGCTCGCTTATTTACGCCAGGCACGTGGGTGCGCTGGCTGGGCAAGACGGGCGGGACCCAGTTTCGACCCATAGGCAATCTTGCAAAACCAGCGTGATCTGGGGTGACGTGGCCCGATCCCCGACCTTGAGGTGATCTTCTTAGGTCTGGGAACTGCTGTTTGAGGAGGGGAAACGATAATGACCGGAGAATAAAAACAACTACCACTTATTGCATACTTATTTATGATGCAGGTTATATGCCCTCTCCCTTTAATCTTTGTAGCAATCCTGTGAAGTAATAAATGTTACTATCCCCATTTAGTAATTGAGGAAATATAGGTTTAGAGAGACTAAGTGGCTTGTCAAGCATCTGCTAAGTGAAAGGGCTGGACTTGAACGTAGGGAGTGGACTTCAGAGCTTGAGCTCACAGCTCCATCACCTCTTTGAGGCCTGTCTTCTCATCAGCAGAATGGCAGCTAATATTCCCTGGACTGGCAGTGTCACAGGCTGTTGCGCGGATCGAGCACAAAGATGTAAACAGTGCACAGGGTTAGGACCGTTCTTTGGTTCCTTCAGGCATTCACCGCTGTGTTCTAGGGCGTAGCAACAGGAAGCATGAGCAGATAAGCCGCGCGTAATGCTGCCTGCTAGCAGCTCACAGTCTAGCGGAGAGGCAGATGAGAAAAAGGAATTTTCCTCCAAGGTGTTACCAACTGTGGGAGAAGAAACAGAGAAGAGAGCTTTTGGCAACCCACTCCAATTTTCTTGTCTGGGAAATCTCATGGACAGAGGAGCCTGGAGGGCTACAGTCCATGGGATTGCAAGGAGTGGAACAGGACTGAGCGACTAACACTTTCACTTCCAAGGCCCTTCAGGCTCCAGTCAGGCCTTGGACCTTTTCCTGTGTTGTGAACTTGACACTCCAGTGACACTCTATTTGCAGAAATTCAAGCTCTTGCACACCCTGGAACCTTCACACTGCTCAAACTCCTAGATGCCTCGCTGCTCTCAGTTTAGAGGACAACTTCTCAGGAAGGCTTTCCTGATCCATGCCCATTGCCCCTGACTAAGCTCAACACCACTGTTTCTGTACTCCTAGACTCCTAGCCCCGTGAACTTCTTCCTTCTGAAAGATCTAAAGCTGAATGAATTAAAAACAAGAATTTCTTAGGCCCAGCAGAAGCAGTGAGACTTTTCTTAGATCTGAGTTTCCAGAGATTGGTGTCATAGTTCACCCTCGTGGGAAACAGTCATCTTCCCCAAAGTCTGTTCCTTGGTTACTGGAGATACCTGACAAGTGTCTAGGGGAAAGGGTGGCTCATCTCATCAGAATAAGGGAAGACAGCATACTTGTAATTCATGGAGGGGAAGGAGGAGTTTTTTTAAGCCACATGTACGGCATCTCAGGCGATTTTCACAACAACCTTTAAGAAAGAAACTGTATGATTACACATGAGGAAAGTGAAGCAGGGATGTGTCAACATTCAGAAAAAGTGAAAGTGTTAGTCACTCAGTCGTGTCTGACTCTTTGGGACCCCATGGACATAGCCCACCAGGCTCCGCTGTCCCTGGAATTTTCCAGGCAAGTTAACACTGCAGTGGGTTGCCATTTCCTTCTCCAGGGGATCTTCTCGACCCAGGGATCAAACCTGGGCCTCCTGAAGCTGAGCTGAAAAGAGGGAGACAGCAGAGGAGACTGGGAAGAAATGGACATTGAGTGAGGAGGAAGATGAAGAAAGAGTGATGTCAAGAAAGTAGAGGAAGAGAGTGGATTTCAAGAAAGAGGAAGTGGCTAGTTGTGTCAAATGCCATGGAAAGGATAAGTAAGATGAGGGGATTGGGCAACATGTAGGTCACTGGGGACCTCATTAAAAGTGCTTGACTGGGGATTAAAAGTGCTTCCCTGATCATCCAGTGGTTAAGAATCTGTGTGACAATGCAGGGGACACAGGTTCGATCCCTGGTCCAGGAAAATTCCACATGCAAAGGAGCAACTAAGTCTGGCACCACAACAGCTGAAATCTGTGTTTCCTAGAGCCCATGCTCCACAACAAGAGAAGCCACTGCAATGAGAAGCCCAAGAACTGCAACTAGAGAGTAGCCCCTGCTCACTACAACTAGAGAAAGCCCATGCACAGCAATGAAGACCCAACACAGCCAAAAATGAAATAACAGTGGTAAAGAATCCACCTGTAATGCAGGAGACTTAAGAGATCCAGGTTTGATCCCTGGGTCGGGAAGATCTCCTGGAGGAGGGCATGGCAACCCACTCTAGTATTCTTGCCTGGAGAATCTCATGGACAGAGGAGCCTTGTAGCCTACAGTCCATAGAGTCGCAAAGAGTTGGACACGACTGAAGTGACTGAGGTCAGCACAGCATATCTACATGCTACGCACTCAGCATTTGCAGCACATGTACATGTATTAGCCCATTGGACCCCATAACCACCCCACAAAACAGCTATGATGCAGATAAGGAAACTAAGACAACAAAAGATTCAGGGACTTCCCTGGTGGTCCAGTGGCTAAGACTGCGGGCTCTCAATGCAGGGATCATGGAGCCAAAAGTGAAAAATAAATAAATAAGTAAATCTTAAAAAAAACAAAAGCAGATACAGCGTGCTAAGACCCAGTGCAGCCAAATTAATTTAAAACAAAACAAGAGATTCGGTTACTTGCCCAAGTTGCAGAAAGGGTGAAGATGGAAACAGGGTTTGAATCCAGTTCTAATAGAGACAGAGATTTTGTTACTCCAACTGGCCTCTGCAGACCCTGGAGTACAAGAGAGGTGCCACTGGAAGTCAGGATAAACAGAGTGTTGTTCCTCCAGGCACACTCATGAACTAAAGTAATCGATCACCAGTGGCCTGGGGTCTAGAGTGAGAGGTGGGGGGTAGCTGACCATGCGTGGTCCCGGCTTCTGCTTCAGTAGGTCTAGGTAAGGATCTTGGAATATGTGGGTGAATCTTTGGAACACTTTTGCTTGAAAAGTATGCACTTTTATGTCAATGTCTACACTGAGATGAAGTTTATTTTATTTTCTATTGGAACATCCCCCAGATATTAGGAATGGCATGCAAAATTTGTAGCACTGTGCTCGCTTCGGCAGCACATATACTAAAATTGGAACGATACAAAGAAGATTGGCCCCTGCGCAAGGATGACATGAAAATTCGTGAAGCGTTCCATATATATATTAAAAAAAATTTTTTGTAGCACTTTTTTTTTTATTTGGCCACGCTTTCAGGATCTTTGTTCCCCAACCAGGGATTGAAACATGGCAGTGAAAGCTCTGAGTCCTAACACTGGACTGCCAGAGCACTCCTGCAGCACTTATTTAAAGACCCTAATTGTCAATGAGTGGCCTTTCATCCCTAAGTTCCAGGATAAGGGGTTGATGTTACCTTCTTCTGCCACTAGGGTGTGAGAAAGTCTGCGTTTACACTGAAGCAAGTGCTGCCCACAAATGAAAGTGTCCAGGGAATGCCCCAACAGCCAGGACACGGTGGGATGGAACTGGACTTTCTAGGACAAGGTGAGGCAAACAGCAGGGTTTCCTTCTGGGAATTTCGCCTGATTTATGAAAATGGTAGTTAACAACTGTATGATCTGAATCATTTCCAGACATCACCAACTCACCTCCTGACCTTCAGGAATGGTGGGCAACTTATCAAAATTTTACCCAGTAAGTGAAATACTTCAGTTTCATAAGACCTTGTTTCCCTAAGCGTGAGAGGTAGGAGACAATGAAGAGAAAAGAGGGCAAAATCATAGATTTTAGTTTCAGACTGACTGACCAGCTTTTAATTCTGGCTTGGCCACTTCAAATTGGCTGTGTGACTATGAGAAAATTTACCCCTCTGAGAGAGACTAAAGGCTCTCTGAGACTTTTTGAGAAGGTTTTATTTAATTTTTTTTACTGTGCTGGGTCTTAGTTGCTTGTGGGCTTTTATCTAGTTGCAGCAAGTGGGGGCTACTCTCTGATTGTCGAGCGAGGTCTTCTTATTTCAGTGGCTTCTCTTACTGTGGAGCATGAATTTTAGGGGGAGTGGGCTTCAGTAGTTGCCACACGTGGGCTCAGTCACTGTGGCCCATGGGCTTAATTGCTCCAAGGCACGTGGGATCTTCCTGGAACAGGGATCGAACCCGAGTCTCCTGCACTGGCAGGCAGATTCTTTACCACTGAGACACCAGGGGAGCCCCTGTGAGTCTTTTTTAAAATTTATTAAATTATTTATTTTTAAATGATGCAAAGATGAATATTTTTAATGATAAAAGGTACAATTCACAAAGAAGATAGACATCATAAACCATCAAAACCGGGGCTTCCCTGGTAGCTCAGCTGGGGAAAAATCTGCCTGCAATGTGGGAGACCTGGGTTTGATTCCTGGGTTGGGAAGATCCCCTGGATGAAGGGAACAGCTACCCACTCCAGTATTCTAACCTGGAGAATTCCATGGGCTAGTCCATGGAGTCACAAAGAGTTGCACATGACTGAGCAACTTTCACTTAAACATTTAACAACAAAGAAACAAATATATATAAAGCAAAAATCAGAAGAAATGTAAGGCAAAAGAAAAAAAATGTAATAATAGACATATAAACATTTCTCTGAGAATATTTTATCAAGTGCAGAAAAATAAAAATAGCATCTTGAATGACATCATTAACAATTTAAATATAATAGATTTCTATTTATATTAATTTATATTAAGCTTATATCCTACACAAGTATATTTAAAAATTTGTAACATGCATTGTTATTAGATATCCATAGGACGTTTAGAAAAACTGGAAGATAGACATTACTAAATTTCAAAAAGTAGTAATTCTTTTTTTGTGTGATTGAGTTATACATATACAA